GCCGGGCACCCGCACCGGCCGCTCCTGCCCTTGGCTCTCGGCGCCGTTAGTGCCCGCTGGAAGGGGCGCACACGTCACGGACACCCAACTCAGGGGCTGTCCGAACTCAGCCCTTCCAGTCTCCGTTGACTTCTCTGAGGACCTGCAGGTGCCCAGCGCCTCTGCAGAAAGGTCTGAGCTCGCGCTGCTGCCAGCAAATTTTTCTGTTCAGTGCAAATTATGACACTCTTCCTAGAGTCACGTCAGTTTTTTATAGCACTGAAAAACATTTATTTTTTCTGGCAAAGTCCAGGATTGCAGAGAGTAAAGTTCCAACGGGAACCCCCTGTAACCTTTCATTTCAACCATCTGGTAAAAGGATGCGATGACACTGTGGGACATTGATAACGGGCCGCTGCCGCCAGCCCAACGGCACATCCTAACAGCAGCGGCAGTGCCAGAAGGAAATCGAACACTTGTTTTGTTTGGCGACACGAGCTTTGCTGCGCGCTTGGCCACGAACAACAAAACAGTTTGTGTTTTATCAATACGTGCCAGGGGCTTAACACCACAAAATCCTTACGAGAATAACAAAGGGATGAGTCTGGTGAGGGCAGTGACTGCGAACGTGCCAGTATGGGTGAGAAACAGCTAGGGGTAACCAGTCTCTAAAAAACCCGCAATTCCAACGTGGCAGAGCTGTCCCAGAGACGGGGGACACTTGCTTTAGGCTGTTGGGACAGGGTGGCCATGCTGGCCTTTGCCTCCAAGGCCATCCTAGTGGGGAAAAAAAAGCTTTCCTCTCTCACCAGAGCTTTCCCCTCCACTACCACTACATTTTTCTTCGGTGAACAACTTCTGTGGATATGGCCTTTGGCAACACCTACACTGAGTGAGCTTGCTGCCCAACGGAGGCGTAAGCGATAACAAATACATTATACCCTGCATGCTTTTCATCAACTGCCATTTAAAGCATACAAAGATGAGAAGGAAGTTTCCATCATTCTTACCATGACACTCTTCACATAGCCAGCAGTTTCCAGAGTCTAATGAAAAAGAATGAATTAATGTCAGTAAGCGCACAGATTTAAATAAATAAAAAAAAGAAGTGTTTTCTTGAGGAGTATCATTGCAGTATTTCCTCTTTCCAAAGGCTGAGAACATGTTAACAAAGAAGCAAAACCCCAAACACAGCGTTGCAGAACGCCCCCCTCATACCCAGCAGTCTTTAGCCCTGATGCTGTCTCCAGCTAAAGGAGCTCAGACATTTTCTCTCGCGGGTGCAGGATCTGGCCATCAGCATAGCCGCTGGACGGGCTGCAATGGTTCTGTCATGCAAGTGCGATGCATACTGAAAGGATTTTTCCAAATGCTACGCCACAGATAACTTTATTCCATGCAATTACCCCTAACCATCCCCCACTGATGCGCACCGTGCCCGTCAGCTCATGGAACCCCTCGCACCCCTCGCTTAGGCTGCCCGTTCCTCTCCTATGGCCTTAGTCGACCTCGCAGGAGAGCAGCAGTATTATAGCTCACCTTGGAGAGCTCATCAATGATGTTCTGCTGTTCAATGACTTGTAGTCTCAGGAAATCAACTTCTCTTTCTTCCTGGCTGTGGTCAAGGTCATTTAAAGAGCTCGGTCTCCTCATTGTTCCAGCTCTTTGCCTCTGAAAGAAACCCGCACAGCAGAGAGGGAATGATCAGCATTTGGCTTTGCCAAAGGACGGTGCACAACCCTTCCCTTTACAGCGTCTGGTGGCTGCTCTGGAGCTGCCCCGCTTCGCTTGTGCTGAGCGTTACATCCAGGCTGCAAACACGCCGGGTGCTCCCGCTCCTGCTCCGCACAAAGCTTGTGGTCACCGGGGCGGACAGCGGGCACGGCGGGGGCCGGGGGCTGGCAGCCGCTCAGCTGCGCCTGCCCTTTAGTCCTGCCAGGAGCTGTGGGGCTTTCCTCTGCAGGAGACGGAGCTCGCAGAGCTGGGACCAGCGCCGCTTCTCGCTGGGTTGCTCTCGTCCTTCTTGATCGGCGGCGGCAGTCCCGGAGCTGCAGCACGCATGGGGACGACCTCGGCCCTCCTACACTCCTGCAGTCCCACAGCTACGTGCCACCAGCTACCGCCCACCACCAATATTCAACTGGAAAAAAAGGGAAGAGTCCCAAGTGCAGATTTCCTGGGGACTACGAGGTGACTCTGGTGCAAAAGTCCAAGGTGAACGGGGTGACCTGCGCTCACGCTGAAGCTGAGCAGCCGGTGACTGAGCAGCCTCCTGGTCAAAACACACAACGCTCACGCGCCCTGTTTTCTTCAGAACTGCTTGTTTTGAAAGCTAAAATAGAACATTTCATGCAAACCGAAGCAGGCTCTAGGCACAGACCAGTCAGTAGCGCACCGCAGAACAGCTCAGCGAGCACCAGAACGTTTCCTATTAAACTGGCGATTTTGGGATGCTGCCTGACCTCAGCAGCCCCGCGAGCACTAAATCACACGCTCTCTGGAGCATACCGAGACTTACCATTGCTATATTTTCTTGCGTCACAAATTTTAATTTATTTTCCATCCGACGTAAGGCATGTGACAATTCTTCATTCTTCCTACTAAGGCGTTTATTTTTATCCAAAATGGGCTTATATTGACTCTCGGCTTCTCTAAGACGTTTTAACTGAAAGATTAAGAGAGAATAAACACATCTGGAGCTGTTATTTTTCATCAAATACATTAATAATTTTCTTTAACAGTCATAGTATCAGCATTTTCTCCTGATGAACATCAGAATTGATCTAAACCCGTTGGTATTTTCCATCGGGAAGCTGCTCGTTCCTCCTTCATGAGGTATGCAATCTGTGCAACAAGTGCACCATGTGGGGAATGTGTTTATTTTTAAAAATAAATGAAAATAATGCCAGCTAATGTCATCTTAAAAATTCATTGTTACATGAGCAAAGGTGAGAGCGATGCGGCAAACCGCCAAACCCAGAGGGTCAGGAGGAGGCAGCTGCTCCTGCAGTGACTTCCAAATAGCTCAGGAGAAAGCACCTCGGTACCTCGGGGGCGAGGCCCGGCCCCGGCAGCACGCTCACCAGCCGCCGCAGCCACACTCACCAGCTCGTTCCTCTCCTCCGACAGCAGCGCGTTCCGGTCCTCCAGCTTCCTGATGATGGCACTCAGCTCCGCGATTTTCAGTTGGAAACGCCGGGCATCCTTTTCATCCAACTGCTGTTCCTAAAACAAAGATCAACTGCAAATAACTGCTCATAAGTGTACACGCAATACCAGTAGTTTTTCAAAGCTCAAACTTTTTCTTATCCCAAATCCAAACATTTCACAACGTTCTAGGGCAGAGCGTAACCTCTGTACCCTAACTGCCCACTGCAAGCTGCAGGATGAGACCAACGGAAAGCTAGGAGTGAAGATGTAACAAAGTATGCAAATGCAGAAGTATGTATATGCAAATACAGAGTCACAAATGGTAAACTTGGAAACAGAAAAGAAAATATCAAAAATTAAGGCAATGTTTCCAATGTATGCCACTGTTGAACTGAGTGCTTCAGACACACCACCCGCTCTGAGGACTTTGTTATAAGGAAATGGCGTTAAAAATACTGAAGTACAAATGGGGAAAATCCATGCAATGGTACCATTGCATAAGCTCTGCTTCCACCAGCCATGGCCCTTGTCGGGTTCTAAAGGGTCGCTCATAGAGCCAAAGGGGCAGCACTTCATCTGAGTGAGAACGCTTAAATCAAATTATAAAGGAATAGAAATATAGGTAGACGTGTTCTCGTTCAGAATCAGAGAGGAGTTACATCTATTTGCAAACGTGACAGACTTTCCCCCCTTCTCTAGGACTTGTTCTGACGTTTGGCAGAAGTGGAGCACAAATCAAAAGAAGGAAATTAGTGTCCATAGTGCTGGTGGCACTTCTGGGGGGTCTTGGGTTCCTCATTCAACAGGTGCAGGAGAGGCTTGGGACAAAGAACTAAATCAATTGGCTTGCTCATGTACAAGTGTTTACACTTCTACTGAGAAAATTAAGGCTGTTGCAAAAGAAATCTTGATGAGAATCAGCAATGAAGAAAATGTGCTTATGTCGGAAATATGAGGTCAGTTAACAGAGGGGTTGTTAATATTAGCAAATTAAGGCAAAAGCAGAAAGGTGCCATAGTTCTACCAAAAAAGCCGTTGTGGAAGGGTGACTAAAATTTAACGTTCTGGATACTGCATTGCAGAAAAGAGATAGAACAGGTTGGCAGGTGATTGAGTCACCCTTAGCAGCCCAAGGAGCCGAGCTAGCAGCGGTGTTCCGGGGGGCACGCGGGATTTCCCGCGCTTCCGTGCACCGATCACCTTCCCCGTCTCCCTTTGGAGCCTGGCCTTGTACCGAACCCACTGGCAGCAGGTGTAAAAGCTAGCACACATACATTGCTCGGTTAGGAATGCATTTGCATCATTTGTTGGCAAAACCGTGTCAAACCATCAAAGTAAGGCAGGTGGCAGAAGTATGGTACAGTGAGGAGAAGGAAGAGAAAAAGAACAGAAAAGTTTCACCCTGCTGACACAACCAAACCAACCAGAACACAAAACGACAAAAAAGCAAAAGCTCTCCCATAACAAGGTTTGATTTTAAATCTCAACGGTTTGGCTAAGAACCGAGAGCAAGGCATCGGTGCCTGGGGGCTTCCCCCGCACGGCTATGGGAAAGCTGTTGCTCGAGGGTGCACTCATCAAGATTCTGTCACTTTGTGCCATTTTGTCAACTCAGTCTGCTCTTCGTTTAGGTGAAACCACGTGAAAGTGCTTACGGGGCTTCCTGAATGATCTGAAGCGTCTCCTGCACCACTTGCATAAGGAAGTTCCCGCTTGGGGCTGCTCAGATGCCGATCAGACTCTTTGATCTGGGAAAGTTGTTCATCTAAAGCCTCCTTTTGGAGCTGCAGTCTCTGAGCATGCCCGGCTTGAACCCCTAACTCTCTCTCCAGCACGTAGACTGCTCTGTCTTTAAACTTAATCTCCTCCATCTACAAGGAGAACAGAACACAATCACACAGGCAGGCAGCGGCTTGACAACAACAGAGCATCTTATGACCCCAAACGCGGCCAGCGAGCAGTCGCACAGAGCCGACACCCCTCAGCACGGCAAACCCAGCAGCGCGCTCTCGGGCACAGGACAGCAACGAGCATTCGACAGTGAACATAGGAACCCACCCGCTTCACCACTCGGGGAT